AAAATTTCACTTTGGTTTAGCTGTTTTTTATTTCCACAGCAATTCTTTTTTTTTTTTTGTTTCACATTGGTGCTACAGAAACCAAATTCATGCCATTAATTGGAAGATAGTTCCAGGTTCAATGACATTCTTATTATTTTGATAAGGAAGTAATGAGCAAAAATTTGGGTCTCATAGCATCTGTTTTCCTGCAGTCCATCAGAGACTTATATCTAAGTGGATTTTAAACACTGTAAGAACACATTGTTCCTACTGAAAGAAGAACATGATGATAGAATCACTTGCTTCATTTGTGTACATCATTGGCGAGTCTTGTTTCCCAAAATACAGAAGAAATAAAAAAAAATAGACCTGGAAGTTACTTTAGAGGTTTTTCAGCTGCACACAGCTCAAAAGCACCCTGTGTGGCACTGTCTCTAGGCGATTTTTCTGTAGAACCTTCTCTTTTTCCTTTCTTGGTCTTTTCCCTTTTTCTATTTGTTCCATTTTTGTCTCTCCTTTTCCCTTTATGCTTACTGAAATAATGCCTAAACTCAGTAAATCCCTGAGCAAATTCCTATCATCTTTTGTTTTCTGCAGTGATAGATGTATTTGTGCTTGCTAAAGACTCCTTTGTATTTCTGAATGTTACTGTTACTTGCACAGAGAACAAGGATTTCCAGCAAACTACCTTGAATAAGAAACTTTTCCCTTGTGGTGGACATACACACAGAGAGAAATAGATTTAAATGCATTTCTTACAGTGCAACGTCTGACAAGGAAAACATGAAGTTAGTGGGCGTTGGGTGTGGAGCAGTTTGCTGTCCTTGTAGCTTTATAGAGAAAGAAAATGTTTTCCTTTGCTGACTGCTTGAGGTTAAGAGTCTTTTAAAAACCAAACCTGTCTCAGATTTTAATTGTATTTCTTAAGTATTGGATTCTTTCAAAGATACCATGCATACACTGCACAGAGGTATAGGTGTGCAGATTGCCTGGCTAAGCAGTATCTCAGCAGCTCCCAGAGACCTGCAAACTGATTTTGCATAGAGCTGAACAGATTGGCCTCTCGGTTCAATAGGGAGTTTCATATTGTGTGTCCTTAATTATGTCTCTGTATGCAAGCAGAAGATTGCTGCTAGCAGGAGACCAGGGCAGTGCAGGCTGCATGTGGCCACTCTTCAGACTGTGCTATTTCTTCTCAGATTGAAAAGTTCTGTGGTCAATTTTTAGGATATTTAAACATTTTCTTGAGGATGAATCTTTGGAGGTCTGTTCTGAGGAGACTGTATTTTCCCTCTGTCACATGCAATGTGGTATTTGCTGTGACAGGTAGCCACTCACTGTACTTTGGGGAATTGTTATGCAATGCTGATCTTATTTTTATTTTTAAAATTGCTTCTTTCTTAAACTTTTTTACCTCACCAGAGTTTCTCATCTCCTTTTTTCCCCTACGTACATAGCCAAGTTGTATTTTCCCGTGCCACGAACAGTGAATTAATCATATGAACCTTTCTAAAAGGTCTGCCACAGAGCTGCCATCTCTCTGCAATAAAAATTGCCAGGGGTCAGTTGTGCTCTCCTTTCCTAAGACAGGCAAAAAAAAGAGAAATTTGGTAGAAAATCTCTGTCACTACAGATTGCAAATGTAACAGGACCATGAGGATTTTCACTTCAACCTTGTGAATGTGTGAGACTGTTTTTTTACTGCTTCTTTAAGAGAGCAGAAACATACTGCAAACAGAAGAAAAGAATGCAGATGCTGCTTAGTGTGTTTATAAGAGGCATTGCCTTCTCCTGGCTTTTCTAAGGAAAGTATGTGTAGGTTTGCAGTTAACACTGTGTAGAGTTCTGTTCCTTGATGTGCTTAGGGCTTGCATCTCTTTGTTAGAGCATAGTATCTCCTTATGATCTGAAGAGTATGTCTTAAGCCTCATTTGTATGAGAAATGAAGATTAGTAATGCAGTAGCTATATTACATCTGCATTTTACACTGGAACCATCCCTTTGGTTATGTTTCCATGACTTGTAAAGGCAGAGGCTCACATACAATATTTTCAGTTGTGGGAGTGAGCTGAGCTTGTGTTTATGTAACACAAATGCTGCTTATGCAGTTCATATTTCGAATACCTGTAGCTCATCATGCCTCAGCCTTTGCTGAGCCATTTTCTTAGGATGCAGTTTTGTTGCTGGTATAAACTGATGAGACTGTGGTGCTGACATTATTGATGCTCTTTCATATGCTTGCGCAAGGAAAGCTGCAGGAGATGCTTGGCAGGAGGGAGGAACATTGTGTCATCTCTGTGACAGCCAGCGGTGAGATCTGCTGAGCTGCATCATCAAACTGCACCAGAAAGGTGCCCCTGCCAAAACCAATGCATTCAGTTTTTGGCTGAGTCAGTGGGTGGCTAACGTGGCTGATGCAGTTCAGGAGTAAGGGCAGGTGTGAGGAAAGAGTAGCCAGATTGAAAGGGAAGGAAGGAAATCAGCAGGACCATCTCCATTCTCAGAGGCACATATAGACATATGCCAGGCTGTGAAACAAGTATTTGAGGTGAACTTAGACATGCATTTGGTTTTGTTTTTTTAAATGTCATACTTGTAAAATGTGCTTGTGGTCTGACAAGCCAGCTTAGAAGATATCCACCATAAGGCTTTGTTCTCACTCAGCATGTGAGGTTTGAATATTTTTTGGGGTGGAGTTTTTCAGTTCCAGCACGAAGAGGCTGTAGGACAGTTAGTACTATACCTCTTACCAGCTGATGCACTGGGGGGTACCTGCTGTCATTCCCTTCACTTGAAGGCAGGAGGGCAGAAATCCAGGGAGTGCCTTATCTCCAGCAGGTGGGAGTTAGAGTCTAGAGCAGAAGACCAACCTTCTGTGTCCACTTTGTGAGCACCAGACACTCAGCAACATGCCTGCTGACACTGTGAAGAGATTTGACACTGAGACTATATCTGCATTGTCCCATTTATACTAACTGGGCTAAAAAACAAGGCAGAATTCTTTTTAGTCATGGCCATTTCACAGCTCCTATTAATACTGCTACCTGAGTTGCCTTCCATGTAGTGTAGTGGAAGTAATATTCTTTTATCCTATCTGAGTTAGAAAAGAGAAATCCTGGACTGGTAAGATTTTTGCAGGGTATTGAATACCTTGGTTAAAATACTGTAGAATAATGAAATGCTGCTGCCATGTAGTAATGAAAAGACTACATGTTATGCTCCTCAGGTTCAGTAGCTGTCAATAGCCAAGTCTTTCTAGTACAGAAGAACTTCTGAAAACAGGTTAAAGAAGCATAGGGAGGGAAAATAGGAAGGAAACTGTCACTGCTGGAAGTGATGTGAAGCTTCCAGGGAATTTTGGATAGAGGATATGATCTGATTTTGCTAAAGTTCTGTTCCAGTCTGGACATGATTTATGGTGATAACATCCTCAGTTTCTCGTTCTGTGGTTAAATGGGCAATAGGATTTCTGTTGTTACCAGAGATCACTGTTCAGCTTAGCTGGGAGATCTGTTACTCCCCTGTATTACTTGTGTGGGAAACAAATATTAGAACAGAACAGTTTTCAGTCTGGCTGAAGAGTAAAGTGGCTGAAAGCTGGAAGTGAGGTGAATTCTGAACAGAAGTAAGCAAATAGTTTAAGTGAAGGCCATTAATTAACTATGGCAACAATTTGCAAGGCCTAGAAGATTCTCTGTTATCAGTTCAGGAATGGAGCTTAGAGAGGAAAAACAAACCCAAAGAAACTATTTACTCCTAAGAGGACTTAATTCAGGGATGCTGAAGGTCAGAACAGATAATCCCCGTGGTCCCACCTGGACCTGAGTATCTTAGAAGTATTTCTGCAAAGCAATCTGAAAGTGTATCCTCCTGTTACCTGTTGCAAATAAGTATAAAGAAATGAAAGCCAGGGCAGAAAGACAGGATACTTTAGCTACAATAGACTTCCTTTATAAATCAGGCTACTGATTAAGTGATTAACTCATTTTAGCAATTTTGTGTATCACAGTGGACATCCTATTTTTGCCACTTTTTATTCCTAATAAGGAGACCAGCTCTACATACCAGGATAAAATTGAGATGTATCTGGGGATTTTTTCCTGTCTTACTTTTGTGAATAGAAATATAAATTAACAGTAAAACCAAGTGTAAGGAAATGATGTTCAGAAACAATCACCCTGCTAAAAATATGGGAGACAAATGTAGATTATAATAGTAGACCTTTAGGTCTGTCAGAGTTTTGTAACTGCATTGAAAGATAGATTAGGTTCATATTGTGTAAAGATTTTCTTCTGACACTTGACAGTGGATATATATTTTGATGGTGTATCTCACAGTGTCTTGTGGTGTGCTGAAAAGTACCACAACCAAAATATTTTGATGCTGAAGCAATCTATCCTGCAAGATTACAAATGCTTTTCCAAATTGGTGTATGAATAACCACAAACCAAGTTTTCCTGAACGTGGTACCTCTGACAATGTGAATCCTCTTTTCAGGTTCCTTTCAGTTGCATCAGACTCTGGAAACCTTGGAAGCAGCAAGGTACAAGGTTAGGTTTTACAAAGAGGACTATCCATCCCCATGGTTTGTCCAATGAGGATGTATTTTTCTCCACTGGGCTTTTGACAGGAGTTCAGGTACTCCATAGGCTAGTGAGGAAGGGAGAACTGACACTGCTCTTTGTGCAGTTGTCTTTGCTCAGTGTTTCATGTGGTCAACACTGGGAGTTTTAGAGCTCAGAGTTAGCATAGATGAGAGCTGCAGGCAGGATCGTGAGGCTGACGCACTCCTGCGGCACAGATCCAGTTGTAGAGGGAGACAAAGGTCCTGTGGTTTTCTTGAGGAATAATCAGCTGGCTTCTGTTGTGGCAGATGCTCTGAGCATCCATCTTAAACAACAAGGCATAATTTAATAGGATTTTAAATGTAACTAATGTCCTTGTTTCAGTTTATAGGCTTGAATCGAATCATTTGGGGGAGGAGAAGACGCTACTTTTTTGGCTAAAAATTTTCAGGGTATTTTGTTTAAATTTATGCAGCTGGTACATCCACAGCTGGTAACTCATACAGATGTCATGTGGAGAATTGCAAGGCTTCTGGCTAAAAAAAAAACAGCACCCCGCAATTTATTTCACTTCAACATCTTAATTAGTTTTATAAAAATAAAAAGGAGAGATTAGGAAAAGTGCATTTGTGGGAGAATTCTCTTGGAAGAACTGTGAAATAATAGAGAGCTGATTAAATCTAAGTTGCAGTTAAACTTGTGCTCAGTGTACAGGCTGTTGGAAGACAGCAGATGAAAATGGGTACATGTGGATACATCAGAACTGGTGTTCCTGGCCCTGAGCGATGGAGCACTGTGGGACTCTGGAACTCTGAACGGCTGCTGGCACAGACAGCTTTGGCCAAGGCTAACTTACAGCCCCACAAACAGCTCGTGGCTGTGATTTAGATGTTTCAGCATGCCAGGGATCATTCCCAGTGTGCAGTTTGCTCTGGGAGGCTGCAGGTTTAATAGGCTTGTCCAGATGATGCCAGTTGGCCTCGGGGCCAGAGGGTTGGCTCAGCCACTGTGTCATTCACTGCTTGCTCTGACCAGTGCAGGAGGGATCTCATGTCACTTTTAGCAGTACACCACTATTAGGAAATAGCCTCTCCCACACATCATTTTAGATGTCTTGTTTCTGTTTAAACAGACATTTAATATCTGTGTTAAGCAAATCTCAGTCTCTATCTGCTTTGGGTCTCTCTCGCAGCTCTTTTTTTGTTGTTGTTGAAAGACAGGAAAATGTTTTTGTCTTTCACTTCTACACTTGGAATTCTTGGGGACATAGTAAAAGGTGTGTTGTCTTTAGTACCAGCAGTGATAATAATGGGGTAATTTTGCTGCTGTTGATAGTACATTATTTACATGCAATTTTAGAAGCTGCCTTCTCTAAGAAAAAGTGATCCTCTCATATATGACTAAAAAACTCACCAGTAGATGCAAAGAAAGGATAAAGAATAAGACAGTGGGATGCAAACACTGCAGACCACTTCTTATGACAACAATTGTTTAAGAGCTTTGTCTTTGCAGTTTTTTGTGATGACTGCCCTTTTATAACCAGGAAATACTGATTCCATCAATATTGCCTCCAAAGGTTATGTATTTTTGAGATGCTGTTAGATAGACAGACTGAGTTGTGTGACAAGAACTACTAGCACATGCACTTTGAAAATCCTCTGATTTCCAAATAGTGTATCTAGGTCATATGATATCCACAGGCATGATTCATCCACCTGGGCTTTATGCCAGCCAGCAACTGCATGGATCCAACACTCCAAGAATACTGTAAAATTATTAAAACTGATTTTTTTCCAAAACACACTGTGATGATAGCTGTAAAAAGTACAGCATGTAATTTAGAGTTCCTTTCTGAAAGAATTAATTTCATTAAGTAGATGCAAAAACTGCAGTGTGGACTGAAAAGAATGCAGAACAGACCTAGCTGAATGAGCCCAGATGTATTTTCTTGGCCCCAGATTTTAATTTCAAAGATTGCTGTCTTGGTATGAAGTACTATTTGAGGCAGAAGTGGTATTTACCTGAGTGTATCTGCTTGAACCCAGCTAGGTCTTAAACGCTGATCTTAGAATAATAGAATCATTAAGGTTGGAAAAGACCCCTGAGATCACTGAGTCCAACCAATCTTAGCTACAATGAGCTAAAAAGTGCCAGTGTTCTGCCTCTGTTAGGCTTTCGTATAAAGATGATAATCTCTTCGAGGGGCAAACCCCCCATACTTTAATACAAATCTCATGCCTTGTTCGTCTTTTCAGTAAAGTCAGTTTTCAAGAGATGATGTCATGCTCACTTTTAGACCTGTGTATTATGCAGACAGACACTCTTAATTAAAGATTCAACAATCCTTGCTCAAGAAACTGTTCAGCTACATTTTAAAATATGTGTAGGTGTCTGGGAAAACAAAAATGTGTGTAGCTGGGGTGTTGGGTTTTTTCAGATGTGCTGACGTGTTTATCTCAATGAACACTTACAGGAGTACATTCTTCTGGGACTTGCCAGGTTGTTTACTTTGCATTTCTAGGTGTCTGTATACTTTAAAAACCGAGCCCTTAATGACTTTGAAAACCAACTGCCTCTTTTAACTTCTGCTCTGTTTTTTTAAAGCATCTTTAGAGAGTAAAGGCTGAATTTCCCACAGCTAAACTAGAGAGACAGCCTTCTAGAAGAGAGGTGAAGAAGCATAACCTTTCTCAACTTGTAAAATAACAGCAGTGCTAACTTTTACGGAGCTAACACTGAAAAAAAATTTGTCTCCTTTGTCTTTCTGAGTTTGTGACTTCCCATCCTATGAAAGTGGGATGGGAGAGGAGGAATGTTCTCAGGTTTGTAAGCATGTCTGTGTTATGGTGGACTTGCTTTGACTATGGTGTTTTCTTTCTTCTTTCTTTCATTTAGATAAAGAAGAGGCAACAGGATGTGGTGAGGTTTCTGGAAGCCAATCGCATAGAGTTTGAAGAAGTGGATATCACCATGTCAGAGGAGAAAAGACAATGGATGTATAAAAATATTCCTGAGGACAGGCAGCCTGCACAAGGCAATCCACTGCCACCACAGATATTCAGTGATGATCGGTACTGTGGAGTAAGTAGCTGTTGTGGTTCTCAACAGATTAGAATCCAGTATACCCAGATGGCCATTTAAAAGTCTGGAACTTGCTGTTGAGCTTTCTCTAGGTGTTTCTGAATTAATGGTGACAGTTTGGGGTGATAGGATCAGGTCATGATCATACAGGGAAAATCCAGGTCATTCATTTGTAAATCTTAAGGTTGTCTTCAGCTAGGAGATTCCCTCCACAAATGTAAGAACTGGTAATGTCACATGCTGCACGTACAGCCTGTTGATGGTAAAGTCCCTTGTGAGACCACTGTAAGCTGGAAATTGCTACTAGGTTCTATTCCAAGCACAAAAATTCAGAGGGAAATCTTTGGCACAGTATATGAGAACATTGGCTAGATGGAGTTATATTGTCATTGTAATTAAGCTCTGTCTCTGACGCTGTCATAGTGTAAATTTCATTTATTCTCAGAGTGCCTTTATGCAATCAGAGTCTCTAGGATGAATGAACACTATTTGCTGTGAATCTGGCAACAGATTGATGGATGGGCTGTTTTTTTCTGGTGGTGTAAGCTTCTCCATCCAAGAAATAGCCTTTGATATGTCAAGAATGGCACCACATGAATGTTTTGCTCTACTGCTTTGCCAGCATGTTATGCTGTGGCTCTGACTTTTGGGCACTATTGCTGCCTGGAAACAACAGATCTTTTACTCACCTTTGAATAAAAAGTTTCAAAAAGACCACAGCTGAGCCTTGTTTTCCTTGCTGCATCTTTCATACTTCAGCCATGTGAATTGTACATCCCTCAGGAGGCAGGTTGACTAACTGGTGGGAGAAAGAGAGGTTTGATGTGCCACCCTGGCAGCATCAGGAGGTGATTGGGTGAGGTTTTGTTGGTGAATTCAGTAGGAGAATAAAATGAAAAAGAGGGTCTCTGTGGTTATAATAGCTGGGCAAGAGTAAATATGGGTATTGTGTGAGTTTCTGACTACAGTGTGGTGAAGATAAATGTGGAAGGTAGTGTAGTGATAAGGGATTAGGATAAGGCAGAGGTACTCAATGTGTTCTTTGCTTCTGTCTTTAATGTCAAGACCGGTTGTGCTCAGGATACCCAGCTCCTAGAGCTGGAAGTAGGTGATGGGAAGATGAATGAAGTCCCCATAATTCAGGAGGAGATGGTTAATGACTTGCTATGCCAATTGGATGCTCCCAAGTCCATGGGCCCTGGTGAGATCCACCCCAGGGTAATGAGGGAACTGTCAAAAGAACTTGCTAAAACACAATCATCTACCAGTGTTCCTGGATAACTGGAGAAGTTGTCACTGACTGGAAATTGGCAAACATGACAACCACTTATAAGAAGGATCAGAGGGAGGATCCAGGGAACTACAGGCCTGTAAGCCTAACCTCGGTTCCAGGCAAGGTCATGGAGGAGATCATCCTGAGTGCCATCACATGACACATGCAGGGTGACCAGGGGATCAAGCCCAGCCAACATGGATTTATGGAAGAAACGTCCTGCCTGACCAACATGACCTCCTTCTGTGACGAAGTGACCCACTTCGTGGATGAAGGGAAGGCTGTGGACGTGGTCCATCTGGTTTTCAGCAAGGCATTTGATGCTGTCTTCCACAGCATACTTGTAGAAAACTGGCTGGGGGAGGAGTGGCTTGAGAGTTGTTCAACAGAACGGGACTTGGAGGTGCTAGTTGACAGTGGCTCAATATGAGTCAACAGTGTGCACAAGTGGCCAAGAAGGCCAATGGCATCTTGACCTCTATCAAGAATAGTGTGGCCAGGAGGACTAGGGAAGTGATCATCCTCCTGTACTCAGCATTGGTGAGGCCACACCTCGAGTGCTGTGTTGAGTTTGGGCTCCTCACTTGGAAAAGAACACCGAAGTGCTGGAGTGAGTTCAGTGAGTGACAACAAGGCTCACAAAAGGTTCAGAACACATGCTGTATGAGGAACAGCTGAGGGAACTGGGTTTGTTTAGCCTTGAGAAGAGGCACCTCAGGGGGTGACCTCATTGCTCTCTACAACTACCTGAAAGGGGGTTGTAGAGAGGTGGGAGATGGTCTCTTTTGCCATGCCTGCAGTGAGAGGACTAGAAGGAATGATCATAAACTGAGACAGAGGTGATTCAGATTAGATGTTAGGAAAAATGTTTTCAGTGTTAGGATGGTCAGGCATTGGAGTAGGTTGCACAGGGACGTGGTGGAGTCACCATCCCTGGAAGTGTTTAAGAGGCACTGGAGGTTATGATTTAGGATTTAGGAGTTACAACAGAGTGTCAGGTTAATAGTTGGATTTGATGACCTTAGAGGTCTCCTCCAACCTTGATGATTCTAAGATTCTAAGGTCCATCCAAGTGGTTCTCACTTATTCCCTGCCAGATTCAGCAGGGCTGTAACGAAGCTGCTTCAGATCTGATGAGAACCTGTTGACCACAGTGCAATTGTTAGCTTAATGTAGGAAGCACATAAGAAGGGATTTAGGATCCTCTGCAGCAAACAGATTGAGTATGATGTAGCAGCTAACTAGCTTCTTGAAGCAAGGTATTTAACATCCCTCCCATATGCTTTGTATTGGCCATACTTGTTTACCTCAGCACTAGAACTCATATCTTCTTACTTCCAGGTAAGATGTGTCAGTCAAAGAAATGTATCTGGGGCATAGAAGGGGTTTTGACCCTTATGAGGCAGCCCCTCACTTACAAATAACAACATTTACATTGTTCTCTGTGAATTCAGTTTGCCTGGGAAATAGAACATTTTAAACTGTTGTTTCTTACCCTTTCAGCTTGTCTTTATAACAAGTTTTAACCTAGTCTTAGAAACTGCTGTTTGGAATTAGCAAGGCTGAAGATGTCATGCAACATGTGAGATGATCTCATTAATCTGTCTGCTGAGCTAATAGCTGTTTTGGTTGAGCAGAGTTAATCCTATTACTAGACCTCACTGTTTGCATGAATATCTTTAAAGAGCAAACATACTTTGAAAGAAACTATATTTTCTAGCATAAAGGAAGATGTATGTGCAGGATTTCCAACACTTATCAGTTAGCTTGCTGCATGAAGTTCTTAGGTAATAGAGTGGAGGTAAAACATTATGCAGAAGGCAAAGGAGGTCAGTGCTGGAAAGGAGGGTAAAATACTAAAATTACATGAAGTCAGCAAGCATTGCACATCTTGTCTCTCTTTGTCACTTCCACAGTGAGTGTTTTCATATGTTTATCTTTACATAAATAACTAAAAAGAAAACCACTGTTAAGAAGCTGGAAAAATACTCACTGAGTTTTCCATTAGTTGAGTTAGTGAAATTTGTAGCTTATCATTCCTGATTTGCATCTAGGCAATTTCTAATCTGGCTTTTCTAGCATTTCTTGCTTTTTGCTTAAAAATCTCATCTGGGCTGCTGCATTGTGGCAGGACATGCTGTCCAGGTAGAGAACTTTGTTCTAAAAAGATGTAATGTAGATACTCACATGCACAAGAGCTGCATCACTGAAGAACATGGAAACAAAGAACAGGTAGACCAGGCTGCCAGAACTGAAATGGCTACAGTGGATGTGGATTGGGAATGTAAGGGTGAGATAATTATTGCATGAAATTTAGGCCAACCAAAATTAAAAGAAAATCTGTTTCCAGGTGGAAGTTTCAGCTTGATGGATAATACTCACATAGCAGAGTGACTCTTTTTTTTCCCCTTGTAAGTTGCTCATATGGTTTAGAGTGTTATGATAAGTCCTGATAGAGTGCCTAGTAGGCAGCAGTAGAGACAGAGATATGTGATATTTAATTTCCTTCCTTGAAATGTAATACATGGGCATTAACTCCAGTAGACAAGAAAAAAGTACAGTGGCAGTAATACCACTGCACAAACTATGGATATAGCAGGATATTGGAACAATACCAAGAAAAGACCATGGCTGTGGTTAGAGAACAACCAGGATGAAATAAGTGATTCAGTTCACCACCGTTGCACTTGTAACCAGGCTAATACAATTATCTGCTAAGAAACACTTGGAAGATACAGCAAAGTTAGAACTGATTTATAAGTAAACATGGTGTTACACATACAATGTCATTACAATTACTGTGACTTTCTTCTTTCTTTAGTACCTTCCCTTTTCTGTTCTTTGAAGGAACAATAGAAAGTAAAGGAAATGTTGAACATTATTCTGCCACTGGCCAATTCATAAAACAAATCAAAGGGGAAAATTCGTATTTCATTTAGTATTCTGAGACGTCACCTAATATTGGTATGAGTAAAATGCTCTTAGAGGAAAACCAACTAACATATGGCAGTCATGTGCCTTGTAAAAGTTACAGCTACCTTAAAACGTGTCCAAGTTAAAATATGTGCATGCAGAGCTTCTGTGCAGCATGGGCAGTTTGCCTTTGAGCCATGACCCCATGTAATAGGATGACTACCATAGCTAACTCCCAGACATTTCCACCTCTCCTCTTCCTCAAATTCCTGTCATGGTCTGATTTGATAGTATTCTTACCCAAACAATTTGTAAAATAACATGATGAGCTGGAAGGTACACAAAAGGTGAAGGTGGCACCTGTTACCATCCATAGGACTTACTGATTCTGCTACTGACTCCCCTGAATATATTCCCCTACCCAGGTGGGCACTATGCCAGTTTGAGGTCTTCAGTTATTGGTTGGGGCAAGCCTTCCTGCACTTGGACTCCTTGCCTTAGAGGTGACAGATATCCTTAGATACCCTGAGATATCCTTAGATAGTTGATGTCTGCGTACCCTGTGACAGTTGCTGTGTGAATGGCAAACAGAACATCAGCCTGAGTGTCATGTACTGTCCAAACAATAGAGCTGTGGCTGACATCTGCTCCCTGTCATTAAAGCCTTTGTTTCTGAAAGCCTACAACTAAACAGCTTACTGCAATAAACATCTGGCCTTTAGTAGAGGAGTAACAAGTTGCTTTGTAGAGTCAATTGTATAAGCTCTTTAAAAATCCTGTGCACAGATCTTATCAGAAGGTTAGGTAATTGAAA